GTAAGGGGCAGCCGTTTGGGGTACTTCGACGCGGTGTAATGTTTAGCAAGCTTATCTCGTTAGATCAATTACGACTGAATAGTTATTTTGATTCTCACAGTGTGCTCCAAAATTTCAGCCTTGTGCCGCACCTAAGTTACGCTTAGAAAACCATTGGGCCCTTCGAGATGGTGTAATGATTAGCAAGTTTGTCTCGTTAGAAAAATTGCGACTGAGTAATGAGTTCGATCTTCACTGGGTATCCCATATTTTCGGCCTTATGCCATATTAAGCTACTTTTGGAAAATCACTATATGTACAGGGGTTATTCATTGTTAACTTTCCAGCCACAGTAATGTCCACATGCGTCACCGGGCCCTTTTGGATGATAAATTATATTCCACCATGCAGCCCGTTTCCCACAGATGTAGCCTGGCAATCCTCCCTCTACTCTATCGCTATTAAAATGGAAGGCTTTTAAACGAACTACATTCTTTAGTTCCACCAATTCGAAATTTCAAGCCAAGCACCCGCCCTCCATACCACTACATACCTTTGGTATCCCAATGTTGAAATGTAAGTTCCCCTCGAACATCTTCTTTGTACGATCACTATAATATTATCTCATTAACCGCTATCTTTCCCACATATTTCTATAAACTGTGTTTCGTTCCTCTTACTCTGTAACCGTCTCAGCCTTGTACGTGTGAACCTTATTATAAAAATACAGTGTAACCCGGATATAAGAGAATTGTCGGGACCGGAGAAGAAGTCTCTCATATCCGGGTTTGGTCTAATCTAAATACATTAACACAGGCTCTAATTTGGGACCAGAGAAAATCTCTCTTATATCCGGGTTTCTCTTATATCCGGGTCTCTTATATCCGGGTTACACTGTATCAAAATGAATTAGTTAGTGGTACTTATTCCCATCTCAGTTATTATGAAACAGGTGACATTGAATACATTGCATCCGTAGCTCCCATGACTTTATAATATCCAGGTGGCTGTGTCCAATAAAGCAATATGAGATTAAGAAAATTTACAAAGCGGTGTCATTCTCATATTCAAGTATATGAGTAGTATTTTCAATTGAATAAGCCTAGTCATACGAAGTCGTTTTCCTTTGTCAACTACCGTAACCTGTCAGCAACGACAAACATATGCGATAAACAGTTTTAAGGAGAGATAATTCAGTGACAGAAACAAACAGACTGAGGCCTGACTTTTTTATTTTTAGAATTTTTTTAAGCGCACACATTGAGTAGGTGCTGTAATGATAAGGAAATTATACGGCACAGATTTTCTGAAAGGAAGTGACTTGTAAGTCAGTGCTTGACACACATTTTGCTCCTTGGCTCTTAATAAATGCCAAACACATGTGCCTTTGTATCATGCTAATTATTCACAAGAACTGGCTTTTTGGCTCTAAACCAGGAATTGCTATACTTATTCACAGAATGATATCAGAAAGAGCAATATAAATGTATTAAGAAGTGTTCCTCTATTTTATACATCACGCAAAAGAGTGTGACGAAGTATGTCATAAATAACTGTTGAATGTGCTAGGTAATTTAAATATATTTGGGATGGACAACAGAATATTCCAGAACCCATGCTGCCTGCATTCGAGTAGACAATGAGTTCTGTAAATATACAAAAAAAGAAAGGGACCAAATAGAAAAGAAAAATATAGAAAGACATGATTATGCCATCTCATCAGAGCTATTCAACGAGGCTATTCTGAGAGAATTAGAAGTCCTACCAGGATAAATTAGTGGCGGACACAATCTTGACAACAGGGCACAGACGTAGAAATAGAACTACAACAGTGACTATAAAGGTTGTGAAGGAAAGCGTAAAGACGGAATGAACTAAGTGGCGTGTTTAATTTCTAACAGAGACTCTTATATTGACTTAGCGTTAATTTAATAGAAAAAAAATATAACTGAACTTCCTCATGTAGTTTTAGGCAAAATGGGTACCTCGACGCAGTGTAATGGTTAGCAAGACAAACTTGCTAGAGCAATTACGACTGAGTAGTGAGTTCGATCCTCACTGGGTGGCTCATACTTTCGGCCTTGTGCAACATCTAAGCTATTCTCGGAAAATCTCTATAGTTGTGGGCAAAATAGAAGAGTACACTATTTCGTGATGTAATAAACGATGAACATCTTCGAGTGTAAAAACGTGGACATGGCAGCAAGAAACCACATTGGTAGCTTTTCCATGAAGTTTCATGACAATTCGCGGATATTAAATGTATAAACGTGTTAAAACTTATGAAGATCATAGAAGCTTAAAAATTCTATATTTACTTGTAAAGAAAACAACGTAATAATTTATTCGGGTGTGTGAAATACTGTACTAACCAAAATATACATTACTCTGGCCTCGGAATTTCGGCTTTATTTCGAAATACAAAAATGAACTCCCAAACTTTTTTTAAAATATCATTTCACTCCAAACAAGGCAGGAATATCGCACACAGGAGTTTACAGAGAGTGGAAGTGAGAGAAATGACTGGTTATAGGTAGCTATTGAGGAAAGGATAAAAGAGGAAAGAGTTTGAAAAGATGGCAGATTGAATTTGTATTTAAATTGTTGCACATTGATACAACAATTTAAATATAAATTCAATCTTTATCCGTTGTTTAATTAACCTTTCTACTGTTTTGAATTTAACATTACTTGTACAAATCTATACAGAGTTCTTTGATTTTTCTCTCCCGATATACATCTTTCTGAGTAACTGATTTTTCTATTGGATGGCTATTTGGAGAAACGGGAGTGGGAGATTTCATTTACAGGGTTTCTTTGAAATTGTTTTGGAGCAATGTGCGAAACAATTTTTGAGAATATAAACTAGCGTTATTTTCGGGGATAAACATATTGGCTTAAAGCATTTTTTTAGCAAATAATAAAAAAAAATACG